ATGATTTCTTTGTTAAAATTCATAAATTCAAGATGGCGGCTTCCGAATAATTTTTTGGTTTTGTATAAATGACGATAACACCGTTGTTGCGACATATCATCTTTGAGAGATAAAAAAGTTATTTGTAATTAAGTCATAGTGATCTATGACCTACATTTGAAAAACTAAAGTTGGTGCTGATATCTCAAATTCTAGAAGAGTTGGTATAAATTTCATATTTTTTTCGAAATCTCTTTGAAAAACTGCCATGAGAATGTGAAATTCCTATTTGAATATTTTCATAAATAAAGAAGTTACGGAGGAGACATGAAAATGATCAAAATCTGTTTTTTGCGTATAAAACAAAAACGAATAGATTTTATCAAAATATTTTTTCACATTATAGTTGGCATTGACAAACTCCACATTTGGTGTCATTTAACCGACCTCGTATCTCTCACCGTTAAAAAGATACCCATGGTGAGCATGGTAAGTGGGACACACTGTATTGGACATAGTGGTTGACCCCTCCATAAGGATATTTATCCTATTGAAAAAAAAGTTCCAGTATTTTTTGGCAAGATAAATCAACGACAATATACAAATGTAAAAACTTCACAAACGATATGATTTCCACAAAATTCTTAAACACACAACATGTTTCGCTAACACAGTAGCTTCGTCAGGTGATATACTGGTACAATGAACTAAACCAACGTTGGCTTGTTTAACTTTTATATATCCTACTTTCCCAACTTGAAGGATTAATTAGCTGTTAACAGGATCGATAAACCTCCATTTTCGGAAATTAGGCACAATATCTACATTAAATTACGGTATACCGGATTAACTTGAGAGTTGATAGCGAATAAATATTATTACCTACTAAAAAAACAAATTCAACAGTGGTGAACTATTGAGGTCTAATTGATCGTTAAGTAAAATTTCAAAATTTTTGAGTTTGTTGTTTTCTAATGATTCAAAATGATTGAGTTTCATTCCTTTATTTTCTACATGTAGAATTTCGATTTCGAATATATGGTTGGCGTATGTTGAATTTGTTTTCTTTTAAAAAAAATTCATCTTATGTTCATGAAGTTTTTACATTTGCCATGGATTTCCATCAAGTAACGGCCGAGCCAATTAAAAAAAAAACAAAAGACAATATACAAATAAATAATAATAATTATTACCTTTATTGATGATTTCCTGTTACTGGTAGTATACGGAATTAATTTCCTTATATTTTTTGTGGTTTCTTCTGACGAAATTCTCGGCTCAGTTTGCTAATTTACGCTTGAACAATATCCAGAAAGGAAACTTGACACAAATTGGAGTGACATCAGGCACATACCTACTAGATGAAAGGAACAGGCAGTCTTACAGGAATAAAAAAGGTACATCCTTTTTTATCAATGTCAAAATGACTCACATCATCATCAAATAGCGTTTGATGTGGAGTAGTTGATTATCAGATAAAAAAGCTCTTGTTTTTTTTTTCTGTTAACAGGCACCTAACATTTGAAACCAATACAATCAGAATTGTGAACGAATCTTGATAGCGTTTATAATTTTATTTTTGCTTCTTTATTTGGAGTCTGTGAGTGGAGAAATTGGAAAAACCATCAACAGTAGTGTGACTTACATATTCAATTAATTGTCCGAATTACACTCACTTTTGTTGCCAGAAAAAAATACTGGTCCTATGACCCTGTAATTTTTTCAAAGACAAAGGACCCCGCACCGCATCAATGGGAAATTGGCTTTCGGTGAATTTACTCGAATTTTTGATATATTGTAGAACTCGTGGTGCTGATCAAATGTCTCCATTGCACCAACGCTCTAAAATCAACAGTTACGATTATATAGGGTGATAAAGTTGACTTTTCCAGGATTTTAGATAGTAGGTAATTGTGAAGACACCTTTCATAATTTCGAAACCAAATCAACTTTGCATTGATTGTTCGAATGACCGATACGAATCTACTATAAAGTATAATGATTCCTGCACGTACCAACAATATACAGGGTTGGTCGGAACATGGCGAATAATTCAGTGATTTTCGGAAAAGTGTGCAGTGGAATCTCATTTAAATTCTGTAGTATACAAATATCATCCCCATTTCGTGATATTAGCATCTCCTAATCAGACATATTATATACAAGATGTTTTATTTTTGATAAAGTCACATCCATGTTAGGTAACTATTATGTATTGGCATCCTCATTATGACTTACAACTTCTAAAATTGTTCTATCCGTCATTCGGTTGCCCCCTTACGAGCAACCCTCAGAAGTCTTCGAGAGTCTTGTGCGAGCAAGGAAAACTTGAACAACCTATTGGGAATCTCGTTCATTCCATGATGAATGTTCACCCTGCAAATACTTGAAATATACGGAGTGGACGAAAAATCAATGGTCTTCTAATAATTTCTCAAGAGTAGTATGTGCAGATTTTTTTGGCCCATTTTATTGACCCTGTTTCATAACGACATTATATTCAATGAAAATAATTTGAACCATTCGATGTAGTATATTTTTGATAATATGCAGGTATCATAGGTTTTTCAGGTGATAGTGAAACAATCAACAATAGGAAACAAGAACAATGAATATACAGTTATTATGGATAACAAAATATTCTGATATTCAATCACAACAAAAGTTCTGTACCTTACATAGTATTTTACTTCCGTGTTAAGACAAGCGATTATATTTCCTCGATCACTAATTCATAAAACGAATTCGTTTCACGAAATGAAAAAGTTGAATTCATTCAACTTCTTGAACAGTCTCCTGAATACAACTCGTCATACTCAATTCTAGAATACCTCAACAACCCTCAAACACTGCTGAAGTAAAGTAACCATAACAGTTAAAACAAAATTAAAGTAGTAAACAATGTATTATGAATGACTAATTTCATGTATTCGTTTTTTCATTAGGTGTCATCATGTCAATGTCTTCCGGCATTGAATGCGATCCACAATTTATTGTTATTTCTTGGAATTACGGAAGCTTGAGTGAATTCTCATTCGTAAAAATCCATGAGCGTTCGTATTTGAATTGAAATTGATTTTCATCGTGATATCATAATATACATCTTTCATATGAGATCCTGCCAATTTCACCTGGTAGGTTTTCTGCTTCTATATCGTGGCTTATACTAAATTGACTCTGATAGCCTTTTCTAACATCAAATTGGCTAATTATACATTGGCGTCTCTTGAGTCAAACACACATACATACAAAAATACATATAAAAATGAACCCAACTATCTAAAATACATACCTAATGTAACAAACAATACTATCTGGTTGGTTTATAAGGTAGTATGAAAATCAACACGATGGCATAGTTATTATATTTGAAAAGTACTCCTGACTTTATAGCCGAGTTTATAACGTACTCAATAAAGATAGAAGCAGCTATATTAGTTTCAATAAACATAAATATATAAATTATTCCTGATTTTTTGGGATTTTCTCACCTCGTTGCTATAAAATAAAAATATGAGTATCATTTCAATATACGTGTAGTAAGGACAAATCAGATGATTTGCCCCAAAGATGTCACTATCAAAGAGCCTAAAACAAAAATTCACCAGTATAATGATGAATATTTCACCTCCTCAATTAACCTACAGACAGTGTTTAACAAATGAATATATAAATCAGTTGGAAACATACACACATATCATCATGAAATCATGGTAATATAAAATAATAGAATATTGAGTGAGGACGAATGATAAATTCTTACAAATGCCGAATGAATCTTTGATTTCATTCAATTACGGTGATCTCTTCTCATGATGGACTCCATGTTCATCTTGATCATGTTAAGATTGCTCTGGTTCAAATGATGTAATATGGCAGGCACATAGCAACTATATTCATCTGTTTAACATTGTCATTTGCAACTATTGCATCTGTCAAGTTCTTATAGAAGTCCAAAGTAATAATTATTTGAAAAATGGCTCATCGCCGATTGAATTGTTTTACGTGTCATTCAGCATTCAATATACAAAATATGGTACGACTTGAGGGAGAACCAAATGAAATGAAGCAAGAAATCGCTATTGAAAGGCGAGATCAAGGGGGACTTCCACATCTCGAATTTATGGATCTAACATGTTATTAAAAATATACTGCATCGAATGGTTCAAATTAGTTTTATTGATTATAATGTCGTTATGAAACAGGGTCAATAAAATGGGTCACAAGAATCTGCACATACTACTCTTGAGAAGTTATTAGCGAAGACCATTGATTTTTCATCCACTCCGTATATTTCACGGATTTGCAGAGTGGACATTCATCATAGGTTGTTCAAGTTGTAAGTCATATTGAGGATGCCAATACATAATAGTTACCTAACATAGATGTGACCATGACTTTATCAAAAATAAAACATCTTGTATATAATATATCTGATTAGGAGATGCTTATATCACGAAATGGGGATGATATTTGTATACAACAGAATTTAAATGAAATTCCACCGCACACTTTTCAGAAAATCACTGAATTATTCACTATGTTCCGACCAACCCTGTATATTGTTGGTATGTGCAGGAATCATTATACTTTATAGTAGATTCGTATCGGTCATTCGAACAATCAATGCACAGTTGATTTGGTTTCGAAATTATGAAAGGTGTCTTCACAATTACTATCTAAAATTCTGGAAAAGTCAACTTTATCACCCTATATAATCGTAACTGTTGATTTTAGAGCGTTGGTGCAATGGAGACATTTGATCAGCACCACGAGTTCTACAATATATCAAAAATTCGAGTAAATTCACCGAAAGCCAATTTCCCATTGATGCGGTGCGGGGTCCTTTCTTCATTCAATTTACAGGCAACAAAATTTTCTTAGAAATGTCAAGTCTACTTTGACAAAAAGTCTCTCTTGTAATTATGGGTGAAAAAAAAAGTTGGGCCATGAAGAGTGGTCAACTTTTCAAAAATAAATTGACTTTCTTCCTCTTTTGCAACCTGGAAACATTTTTTCAGCAATTACGAAACAAAGAGGTAATAAGAAGGAGAATGAGAATCATAAATTAACAGAATATTTCAATGTGAGAAAATCTGATAGAAGAACTAAAGGAGAGGTTAAAGAGGAGAAAAGGCGACTCTTAGAATATGCTCTGAGAAGAGGAGTAGAACATGGACTGAAGGTAAATCACAATAGTTATTTCTGTATATAGTACCTATGGTAACTTATGGAGCAGGTTTTAATCAAATAAGTGGAAACAGGAATTTGGTAGCCTTTGTACCTGTGATATTACTTACTGGTCAATTTTTTCAAATTCAAAATGTTTCTTTCATTGAATCATTGTCACCAATATCATTACATTACAACCACATCATAAAAATTTCAATTCATTCAGAAGACTTATATCAGCACTCAAACCAGTATGATGCCAGCAAGACTTGCAGCAAGATGGTTCATACTAGTAAAGAGGTATGCTTGGAATTGTACTAAACTACATGAAATTGTACTCATCAGGTTGTACACCCTAGTCGAATTTACGCCACAACCTATTTTCGAGCCTATTTTTATTGTTCATTCCATGTATAAATGATATTTGATGCAATCATTCCTTATTCAAAATCATGACAAATATTATTTTTTTTCTGTGACGGGAAAAAAGTTTGGCATTTCATCTCTGTTGGCAGGTTATAAAATGTCACTTTTCATAGATTGAGTACTTTTTTCCCGGATATATATCACATATATATACACTGTTGATGGCTTTTGTTGTGCTATAGTTCCGAAAAATGTGTCAATTATACCGTCTCCGAGAAAGAACTGAGAAAGAAGTCCTTTTATCTTCCATTCGACTCCGCGGTAACGTATATTACTGAACAACCACTAAATTCGCAATTTTTTGAAATCAAATCACAGAATTAGACTGACAGAATTGACATCAGATATTTGATTACTTCAAAAGAATGATAAAGATGCCTACAACGCAGGTGTCCCTATACTGTTAAAAACTTAAAATTTCACGTCGATAATTTTCAGATTTCAAAATAATGTAATATCTTCTCAATATTGATTGGTCCTTTTATCTGTCACAAAAAAAAATAGTGTATTATACACGGGAAAAATATTAGATTTTAGCTCACAACCTGGAGCTAAAATCTACTTTTTTTCCTTGTATAATAAATAACTATTTTTGATAATTAAAATTGGCACCTTTGAAAAACGCTAGTTAATTCCTCAACAACCAATGAGAGCATAACAATATATATGGACGCTGTCAAATTTATAACCAGTAATTACCTTATGACTTTATTTATTTATTTATTTATTTATTTATTTAGAAAGCAAAGTTATCCAACAGAGAAACTATAAAAAATAGCACATCCAATAACAGGATAACATAGTGATACAAAATGTATTGTTATCTTTACATGGGTTGCACCTACTTATGAGATTCAATATAACATTGACAACAGTATTCACATCCACAGAAGACAATGGTTCCACCTGGCAGTTATATATCTTGCATATCTTCCAAATAATGATAGACATTTTATTTAAAGTAGTACCAGATATGTGAAAAAATCTTCAAGTCTGAAATCAAAACAAAACTAATTCAACTGGAACCTTATAACCTTGTAGACTTCTGTATATGATTTCCTCTACCTTTTTTGTTGACGTAATTTCTTTTGTCTGATTTACCTGAACCACTTGTTTCTGTATCTCTTACAATATGAAATAAATATTATTATTATTATTATATTCGAATATGTTGTATACATTTTGGGTAGTTGTTTCCCCCTAGGGCATTATTTAGAAACTTTTCATGAAAAAAAAATCATACAAATTCATTTAGTTTTTTGAGAAGATTAACCATTTCTGTCGGAAGGTGAAATCAACAAACCCTCAAATTTCATAACATTCGTAGTTGTAGTTCAAGAATAGCTCCTTTCAACTAGCCCAATTTTGTTGAAATCGACTCAGCCGTTTGGGAAACCTTTGAATACCCCCACCACTTTATTTTCAAATACAGCAAAAACTGTCAAACAAAAATGGTTCAGATTTTTCTCGACTCTAAAGATCAGTTAGGCTGTTGGGTCGATATAGCGGAATTCACAGAAACCTATCACTTTTTTAGATTCAAGATTGCAGTTACTTACGCTTCCTAGAGACCATTTCAGAAACTTCTCTTGGCCACTTTAGTAATGATTTTTTTAAACCACTAGCTGTAGAACCTCTACCATTATTCAATCCTTTTGGAGGTGTAAAGTGTGACTGCTAATTTAGTTATTATTAGAGTCACTGGATGGTGTTTGATAAGAGTTCGGACACAGCTGAACTTTTGTCCTTTTCTATTTTCTATAATACAATGGTTTAGGTGAATAAAAGAATAAGACATATATTCGGCTCTTTGTCTTTTCAATTTCCCTAGTAGTGCCTGATTGTCAGATACGATTTTAGAGGTTATATTTTCTGTCAAATCAATCATAGCCGTAGATGGACAATGGGTATAGGGTACAAACACCCAATTCAATTTATAGTGATACACTTCTAACAGAACTGTTATATAAATGAAAAGAATGCATGTAACAACATTTTAATATTAGAAAATATACACATATGGATGAACTTTTATAGCTATAATTCCTTATTATATGTGAAACTGTACTCCAGTGATGAGTATAAAACATGATAGATAGATATTCTCAATATACAGGAAGTAAGATAAGTACTTTCAAGTGAAGTATTCCTGAGACAATTATAAGAAATAAAGTCTATATAAGCTTTTGTCAAAGAATATAGGTTCTTTTGTGTCCGGAAATGCATCATTTCGTAGATACAGAGTGCTGAAATACAAAGAACAAATCATTTTTCGATAAACATTTGATAGGAAAAAAGTAGTTTATTTTGACGAGACCTACCAAATTTTTCGGCATTTGTAAAGTTCTCAGCAACTCCACTTAGCGCCCTAGGAGCTAATAAGTAACATGGATCGATATAGAAAATATCTCCAAAACATTAACCTCCAGCGTAATTAAGGCCCTTATAATAATTCCCTTGATACATAAATAACTATTCACTGTCCACTGTTGAATTTTAAATTTGGTCGGCACCAAAAACGCCATTCAATAATATATCACTCTGTAGTTTACTTGCTTTTTTTAGTTTCGTTTTCAAATTCTCAATTTCATTATGTAATTTTGCGATAATTTCCTCTTTTCCATGATCATTTCGTTTTGTATTTTGTGTGATAATAATGGAAATTTGTTCTTGAAATCGCCTGCTTTGTAAATTGATGGAACAGCAGATTCTCACAAACAGAATTTTAAATCTTCTGTTTGAAGATGGGCCTAAAATATAGTTTCATTCTAATTAGATGCTGCTATAAAAAGTGAATTTTAATGAGTACCTCACAAATTTCGCTCGTCTTCAAATTGAGTTTGCACCCATCAGGCCATTTCATATCTTCCTTCCATAAGCGAATGGTTGATATTTGTTTCGGAAAATTGAATAAATGATATCCATTTTCTTCAGAATTGGCACAATTTATTACACAGCAAGTAATTTCCATAGCTGCTTTCATATCGAATGTATAATTATGAAATTTGATTTCAATTCTGACGTTTATAAAATGTATTGTCAAATTCAAACAATTTTGAATGAAAAAGCGCGGGACGACTATGGTGCTCTTGTCACAATGCAAGGTGTGAAACTTAATAAATCTAAACACTCAAAAACCCTAACCGTTGTCATTTCTGTGTCCGAACTCTTATCAAACTAATAACATCCAGTGACTCTAGTTATTATGAACCACTAGTCAATAATCACATAGCCACTTCTGGTCCCCCGAATTCACTGTACTAATGCCATATCCGCAGACATGGGACTCGCATCTAGTACGTATTTAATATATAATATAATAATGACTTGACATATTGCTATTATTTTGATTAGAATTTGAGGGAAGTGCATTCATAGTGACAATAGGTCCATATTTCAGTTTCACAGAACGATAATGATTGAAATATATTGCATGTGGTGAAAAAAATTTAATATACATCATGGTAGTAGAGAATATCATTACCACGGACCTCATACCCCTCGGCTGAAGCCTCGGGATATAATCTTGGTCCCTGGGTAATAATGATATTCTTTACTACCTTGCTGTATGAATAACTATTTTGTCTCAAACTTCTACGATGGATAGTATCCCAGATACAGTACCTCGCATTCTTAGTTGGTCACCCTGTACACATTTGTTTTTTCATCACTAGCTATATAACCTACCAGTATATAGGTCGCGTGCACGATAACCGACCCTGGAAGTAAAATATTGAAACACAACTTCACTTTTTTTTTTGTTTACAAAGAAATCAAAGGATTGAAATAGTTTTTCACAATATTTTGGCATACGAATCCTGTTTTTTTGCGCTTTTAATTAATTCAAGCATGCCTTCGCATTTACTTAAAATTCCTTCTGCCGCTTCTGAAATACAAGCTAATACTGCTAATAGATTGAAAATGTTTACAACACACACGATCATATTTCGTCAGCATGTCAGACCAGTCCTCCCGTTTGATTGCATGAATCCAATATTCTTGCATTCTTTTAGAAATTTCACGAGTATTTCTATTAGCTCCTATTGCAGAAGGAATGCCGATGAGAAATCAGGGAAATAACCAGATTTCAAAAATGAAAACTATATGTGAGTGACTTACTTTAAAATCATAATGTATCAACCGGATTCCTTCGTCTTCCACTGCAGTTTTTGTGCATTGTACAACAGCACAATGTGATGGCATGAGCGAATTAATGAATAGCCGAAAAATACGATTCATATGCCAAAATAATTGTGAAAAACTATTTCAATCACTTGTAAACAAATAAGGAAAGTGAGGTTGTGTTTCAATGTTGTGCCTCCAGGGTCGATCACCTGACAGTTCTTGTACGCAACCCATCGGTCGCGTGCACGATGACCGACCCTGGAGGTAAAATATTGACACACAACCTCACTCTTCTGTAAAACATTTTTATTTGTTTACAGAGAAATCAAAGAATTGAAATAGTTTTTCACAATATTTTGGCATACGAATCGTGTTTTTTTGCGCTATTCATTAATTCAAGCATGCCTTCTCATTGTGCTGTTGTGCAATGCACAAAAAATGCAGTGAGAGACGAAAGAATATGATTTCTCAGGTAAATAGTAATCTCACATAGTTTTCATTATGAAATGTTGTCATTCCTTATTAAAATTCCTTCTGCCACTTCTACAATACAAGCTAATACTAGTTATAGATTGAAAATGACTACACACGATCATATTCCGTCAGCATGTTAGACCAGTCCTCCCATTTGATTAAATGAATCCAATCTTCTTGCATTCTTTTAGAAATTTCACGAGTAATTTATATTAGCTTCTATTGCAGAAGGAATTCCAATGAGAAATCAGATAAATTACCAAATTTCAAAATGAAAACTATATGTGAGTGACTGAGTGACTATAGTAGGTACTTACTTTTAAATCATAATTTACCAACCCAATTCCTTCGTCTCTCGCTGCGTTTTTTGTGCATTGTACAGCAGCACAATGTGATGGCATGCGCGAATTAATGAATAGCCGAAAAACACTATTCATATGCCAAAATGATTGTGAAAAACTATTTCGATCATTTGTAAACATTTAAGAAAAGTGAGGTTCTGTTTCAATGTTTTACTTTCAGGGTCGGTCATCTGACAGTTCCTGCACGCAAACCATTCTCCTTTTAAATATAAATGCAAGGTACACACAAGATCTTATTATCAATAAAGTGTTGCCTACAAGATTCTCTGTAGTCTATTCCATATATTAGCCGTATGACCCTTTTATGTGAGACGAATATTTTGCTGAGTTTTGACGAACATCCCCAAATGGCAATATTATAAGAAATATAGGAATATACAACAGCAAAGTAAACATTTAGAAGTTGAGCCTTATCAAAAGTGGACCTCAATTGTCTAATAGGAAGATACCCACTGTTCACTTTCTTACTGACATGATTTATACCCGACTCCCATGTCATGTTACCATCGATAAAAGTACCTAGAAATTTGGTATTGTCTGATGTTTCAATTATTGTATCACCCACTCTAACATGAAGATTGTCAATTTTTCTATTATTTCTGGAATAAAACTGCATCAGAACAGTTTTCTCTACATTCACCACTAAAGAGTTTTTATTACACCAATTCGTGAACTCGAAGCTCAAGGTATTTAATTTTTCTTGGAGCTCCTCTCTGGGTTATCTGCAATCGCTGCAATCGTTGTATCATCTGCATACAAAACTACATAATCTGAGCTTATATGATTGGGCATGTCATTGATGAATAGAAGAAAAATGAGTGGACCTAATATAGAACCTTGAGGAACCCCAAGATCAATGTCATACTGCTTCGACTGACAATTGTCGACTTTAACGTGTATCTTTCTGTGAGTCAGGTAAGATCTAAGCCATGAAAGGAAGATACCCCTGAAGCCAAGTGAATACAGTTTTTTGCATATAATATCGGGGTCAATAATGTCAAATGCTTTCGACAGGTCGAAGAAAAGTGCACCGACATATTTCCTTCTGTCAAGTGAATTATAGACACATTTGAAAAAACTGTGAAATGCACTTTCCGTTGACCTACCTGGGCAGAACCCATGCTGGAATTTGGTTATTATATGGAATTCTTCTAGAAATGCAAGCATTTTTACATAAACGGATCTTTCGATTATTTTACATAATACTGTTACAGGCCGATAATTTTCAATAGACATTGAGTCACCTTTTTTTACTATCGGTACATATTACTGACCCAATTTTTAGTTTGTCTGGAAATTCCCCAGTTTCAACTGAAAGATTTATCAAAAATGCTAATGGTTCGCAAATTGAATTTTTAATGTTCTTTATTATTTTTGTTGAAATGCAATCGACTCCAACAGAGTTCATGTTCTTCAGGTCAGAAATTATTTCGAAAATATCACTTGGATGAACTGGAGTGAAATAAAAAGTATGATCTACAAGCATAGTGGTGAAGTCATTGAATGATGTTGATTCAAAGTGTGCATTAATTGTGTTCTTTGCTATGGTAGAGAAATATGAACCGAAAGCATTGACAATTTCATTTTGATCATTTATTAGTTTGTTAAAAATGGAATAAAATTAAAGATGACCAAAATTCATCTTTCCATTTTATTTTATTCGAAAATAATAATGCGCATGACCCAAATGAATTCTGTCACAGAATCTCCATAGAACATGAAACATGAAACGTCATTGTCATCAATGCCGTGATTGGATTGGTTGATTACTTAATCATTATTTTATTTTAGTTATCTGTATAAACAGTGGATTTTATTCCTTATTCCTCAAATTATCTGATCTTATTCCTTATTTTATTTTAATTGTTCTAGTTCACCCTGTAGAATTTATGGTACGTTGTTCTGGGACACCTTGTATATCTGTGTATTTTTCACATATTATATGGTCTGGTCAATAATATTGTGCTGTTTTAACTGGATGAATAAACTATCTCTATAATTCCTATTGAATTTCAGATTATCTTTGAATTTTTCACTGAAAATTAAATTTTGTCTAGGTAAAACACATCCACAATAAGGGCAGAGGTGTATTCGCCACTCAGGACTTCCATAGAGGCGAGTTTGTCGTCGAGTACAGTGGAGAACTCATCTCTATCCACGAAGCTTATCACCGAGAAGAAAAGTATGAGCAGGACGAAAATACTGGGTGTTATATGTATTATTTCAAATACAACGACCATCCTTATTGGTAAGAAAACCCTTGGAATATCCATCGAAGAGACTCGCCCCATATTCATGTCATTTTGCACCAAGAGAAAAGTTGAACATTATCAGAAATTGTACAGGGTGATCCTTGAAAGCGAATATAATTTTTTTAGAAATATTCGATTGGAGACCAAAATTGGCCGATTGAAATCAATTTACCTCTACGAAAATGCACCGTTGAGCCGTGAGAGGGCGATAAAGAACAATTCTATTTATAAATTTTCTTTCATATTTCGTTGAAAGGTACTGTTCTGAAATCCGTCGGACAATTTACTATAGTAAATGTGCATTGATACTTGTTGTGCCAATTCAATCAATACACAGGGGGTTAGGTATTTCACATTCTCTTTATGAAAAAAATAAATTTTTTGGAGTACGGCACTGACCACATTTTAATATTTCTATGAATGTCAAAATCAATTATCTAACTTTTTTTAACTGCAGTATATCCTATTTTGCTCGTTTCAACCTGTTTGTGTTTAAGTATTGACCACAATAATCATGTTCACCAATTCTCAAGCTCTCCATCATAAGATTTGAGAGCTGGTCATTTTCAATTTCAATGGTAAAAAAACTTCTAAGAAAAAATTAATAAATTTGAAGATGGCTAACAACATTATCATTTGCTAATGTAGTTCATAAACATGATTATTGTGGTCAATAATTCAACACAAATGAGGCGTTTGTTTTGATTTCTGTTTTCGCTGTGTCATAGGTATGGTCGTCGACTATGTTTTCATGGATTGTTTTTGATCAAAAAATGATTTCATCGATGTAAAAAAAATTATCAAAAAGCGCCAAAAATTTAGTCATTTCCAAATCGAATAACTAATTCAAAATTGAATTGACAAGATTAAGCTCACCACGCAGACATACCTAAATATGTTCCAAATATGTTGGTGAAAACGAAATCAAAATCCGATGTTTGGTTAGGTCTCAAAATTTATTCTTATGAACACACTTTTATGTATCAATTTCCGCTAACCAAATGTTTCATCCATTGTTCCATCTCTTTCTGATAAAACGGTGCAAATTAACATGCAAAACACAGAGCCGTTTGCAGCTCACGGAGATTTTGACAACAATTCCATAGATTTGGTTGGTTACATACGTAGGTAACATAATTATGACAGAGAAATACGCATTTATTTGTGAACGATTCACGAAATATACAAAAATAGTACTCACAATTTATTGATCTTGGATGATCATTTATAAACGTCTCCTGCTCTTTTATATATACTTGTTTCTTTCTCTTCAACCCATTTTACCCATTTTCACCTATTCAAAAGGTATTTTATATTCACGCACACATCAATGAAACTTCAATAAAACTACTCTCACTAGAAAATCGATAAAAGCGATAATAATAAGTATTATGAACGGGAAAAAAATCCCAAATTCCTCACAACTCAATTAAAATTAGTTTAAAAATTTTGATTGAGGAGGAAAAAGAGAAAAAAGAAAGTCTGGAACTGGGATTCGAACTCTGAACCTCAGTCATCATCAGTCATACGAATCAGACGCTTAAAATTTGCGCCATCGAGGCAGTTGTGCTTTGGCTTTACATTTCAGTTCTGGTCTTTACAATATATGTTCGCGTCTGCATTAAATTTACATTGCTAGTCTTCTGTGAATGCTGTAAAATGGCAATATGAGACCCGCTGAATGCCACAACCAGTGTTGCCAAACTCTTTCTTCGAAATTCCATAGCTGGATGCTGAAAATACTCTTTTTAGACCGCACAATTATTTTTAATGCATTTTTTTCTCATAAACATTCGTTTTAATAATACCATCTCATGAATGAGTTCAGGAAACTAAATACATACAAATATCCTTACTTTCATTGAAAAAAAAATGTAATTACCTACTAATGTTTTTTGTTGCAAAAATAATTTACTATAATTACGCAGTGTAACATTGTTGTGGTCTGAAAATATTATGAATGCTTGACACTAAAATACCTTGAGACGGAACAATTTCATGCTTTTGGCAACACTGTAACCAAAGCAGAGGATGAAAATTTAGAGCCGTTCCTGGAGAGGAATGTGTCTGTTGTGTGAAACAGACTCACACGGGTTAGTGTATAAGATGGAAATAGGTATAGTATCGTGAGGTGAAATATGTTTTTCTAGATTCGTATAGTACGTAAAGCAGTTTGAAAGAGAAAATGAGGATTTTGAACACGAAAATTTCTTTCCGAGTATCTTCCGTTCCTCTTAACTAAAAATATGAGTATTATTTCAATATATGTGTAGTAGGAAAAATCAGATGATTTCCCTCAAAATTGCGTTTACAAATTTTTCTATCAGGGAGCCTAAAAGAAAAATCCAATAGCTTGTCAGTGACACTTTGTTTAGGAGAATGTTTGAAGATATATTGAAAAAAAAATCGAATTTTTACTTTTTATTGGACGTTTTGGGAACGAATCTGCTCCCGTTCTCAACATGAAAATGCAAAATATTTTTCTTATAGTTTGACACCTCTCAGTGACATACTGATGTTGGCATATGGATGAGTGATGATGTTAGTATAAAAATTAGTTACAGGATGTTTTTATCAATTGATCTTCATTCTATCATTCTTATGTTCAGTTTTCATTAGTGAATACCATGTTCTATCTATATCAACTGAACAAGAAGCAATGCTATTGTCTCCGTTCAGAAGAATGCAAGCGGATTCCTTGATTTTTATCTTTTGGTTGTTATCTTCTTTTCCTATGATTTTAATATTATTCCACTCTGCCATATGTTGTCCATTTTCAATAAGGATATGTTCAGTTAGCTTCGATTTATTGATATGTCTTTTCTTGATATTGTACTTGTGTTCATTCATCCTTACTGAGAGATGTCTCTTTGTTTCACCTGTATAATACTTTATACAAACACAAGGTATACTATAATAGTATATTACATAACAAGAGTTGTAAAACGCATATTACGCACGAAGTGGAGAGAGTTACACACGATGCCGCATAGCGGCGAGTGTGTAACTCCACAAGTGCGTAATTGCTTTACAACTCGAGAATTGTACTATACTTTTTCTACGACTACACTATATTTTCTTCCGGATAGTGCAGATATTGTATTAAGGCACAAATAACGAATACCAATATAAAATGTCTCCCGTCACTAAGCCAGCTGCATGAAAAGTTACAAATCACAATTCTTGTGTTTGTTTATTGATACATTGCATACCGAGATATTTTCCTCAATTCGAACTGAAATGGAGCCGTTTTTCATATCTAAACAGCTTTATTAATAGGTAGCAAAAAACTCATTGTATAAGGATATAAAATTAACATGGTTATTTATTTGTAACAGTGCAGTACGAGAGATTCTGTAATCTTTATTAAAAATAATAAAAAAAGTTCTCCAACTGCGCTCTGAACCACCGCCCTTTGGGTTCGGAGCCAGCGCTTCCAACAACTGAGCTATCACCATTTCTCCGTATTAGTAGATATTTTATAAATATAATTTCGAAGATTGATCTTTTTTAATTATTCCTGTTATTTAAAGAAAAAGGAATTCATCAATCCAATGTTAATATGAATGTTATTTGAAAAATTACCTTCAACAGGAGCATTCTGCAGAAAATAATTGAACTGTTCAGCATTGAGTATTTTTGATTTTTTACTTCGGAATCCATCCTTCCCTTTCGAGGAAATGGGATATGTTGCTATATTAATATTGTGATTGATATTTAGTGTTGATCGTAACATGGAATATATCGACCAGAGTGATGATGATTTCATCGAATTTGATATTTCTTGAAATTATACTAAAAGGATATTTTCCGAAATTGACACGGTATTATATCTAATTCTCAAGTCCAGGAATTTTTGATGTGCTATTTCGTATCATTCACGAGACTTAGCGGGTAGCAACCCATTTTTTACCATTCTAGCTTTTTCCAACATTTCTGGTGGTGTAGAAATAATCTGCTCATCGTATCAATAGAAAATAATCATATTCTCAAAAAATATAACCTACCTGATGCTTTCGGTTTCGGTGGATAACTGGATTGAATGATAAAAAGATAAGTACCTACCCACCTAGCTATTGACATCAATGAAATTGTTAATTGTTATTGACACATCGCCTAAGCAACAAAACAAAGTCATCTATCAACATACCTATGAAAACCGTGCGATCGCTCTCTTTACGCACACGTGTGTAAGGAGAAGTTTACTGCCATTGTTTTGTGTACAATATCCATCACTTACAGTAGTAGTCGTAGGAAAATACAATTTTTTGATGATTGTTCTTCATTTTTCGGTTTAGTTTCAATGGATTACATTGTATTTTCAGTTTTGAACACTGTTCTCACTTGGAACTTATTACCAACACGTTTCATTTTCTCAGATATGCCTGGAATGTACGATAATATATTATATAAGCTAACTGAACATATCCTTACTGAAAATGGATAACATATGGCAGAGTGGAATAATATCAAAATCATAGGAAAAGAAGATAACAGCCACAAGAGAAGAATCAAGCAATCCGCTTGCATTCTTCTGAACGGAGACAATAGCATTGCTTCCTGTTCAGTTGATATAGATGTAACATGGTATTCACTACTGAAAACTGAACATGAAAATGGTAGATTCAAGATAAATTGTATATTAATATTCATATGCCAACATCAGTGTGTGACTGAGAGGTGTCAAACTATCAGAAAAACATTTTCGAAGAAAAATATTTTGCATTTTTATGTTGAGAACGGGAGCAAATTCGTTCCCGAAACGTCCAAAAATAAGTAAAAATTCGATATAATTTCAATATACCTATATTTCTTCTCGTCAAACATTTTTCCAAACAAAGTGTCACTGACAAGCTATTGGATTTTTCTTTTAGGCTCCCTGATGGAAAAATTTCTTAAACGCAGTGACATTTTGGGACAAATCATCTAATTTGTGCTACTACACATATACAGGGTATGTCAAGAAGAGCTTACACTATCTCTATATCGAGAATCAGTCGGGAGAAATCCATGAAAATATGCATGCTTATATTTTAGAATACGCTCTCTTCATTAAAAGTATTTTCAGCAATGCAGTGTTGCCGCTTCTATAAAAAAGTAGCAACAACTTTGTTATTTCAAATAGAATACCTTGTATTTTATTGCATTTTTAGATTCTCCCTGAAGAGCTGATCTCATCGATACATCACATGGGGGTCTATCGGAAATGATTACTGAGATATAGGGTATTCAAAATCGAGATTTTCCAACATTAGGATTTGTTTCTGTCGAAACTATTCATTATCGGCCAAAACGGCTCACATGTCCCTATCTCAACTTTTGATTTACTATTTACTGATATTTAATCGGAACAGATACAGGGTGATCAGAATTCTGAAACTTGAACCACCCTGTATCGGTTCCGATTAAATATCAGTAGATAGTAAATGAAAAGTTGGGATAGGGCCATGTAAGCCGTTTTGACCGAATAATGAATAGTTTCGATACAAAAAAATCCTAAAGTTAAAAAATATCGATTATGAACACCCTATATCTCTGTAACGATTTTCGATAGACCCAAAGTGTGATACATCGATGAAATCAGCTCTTCAGGGAGAATCTCAAAATGGGAAAACAACAAGGTGTTCCATTTGAAATATCAATGTTGCTACTACTTTCTAGTAGAAGCGGCAACACTGCATTATCGAAAATATTTTAAATGAAGAGAACGTATTCTGAAATATAAGCATGCACATTTTCATGGATTTCTCCCGACTGATTCTCGATATAAAGCTAGTGTAAGTTCGTCGTTACATACCTTGTATTGAAATTTCATCAGATATCTCGAAAAACAAAAAAAAAAAATATAAAAACACTGCAGTTAAAAAAAGTGAGATGATTGATTTTGTTATTCATCAAAAAATCAAAATGTGGTCAGTGCGGTACTCCAAAAAAGTTACATTCATTTTAAACAAAGAGAATGTAAAATACCTAACTTCCTGTATATTGATTGAATTGACACAATATGTTTTCCATGCACATTCACTATAGTAATTTGCACTACGAATTTCAGAGCAGTACCTTTCAAGGATTTCGAAATATTTGCGAAAAACTGGAAATAAAATTGTTCTTCATCGCCCTCTTACGGCTCAACGGTGCATTTTCGTACTATCTTGGTCTCTAGTTCACCCTGTAGAATTTATGGTTATTCTGAGACAACTTGAATATAGTGTGTTCTTTTTTTCTCTTTTCAGCATCGATGCCACAGCTGAAACTGGAAGGTTAGGCAGGTTGGTCAATCACTCAAGAAATGGCAACTTAGTAACTAAAACCATAATGGTGGATGGTACTCCCAGATTGGTTCTCATCGCAAAAAGCCACATCAGGATAGGAGATGAACTGTTATATGATTATGGAGATAGATCGAAGGAATCACTAGAGCATCACCCTTGGTTAGCACTGTAGTCTTAATGTTATTTCAAGTTAGTTCTGTTTTTCAGAATGTTGTCCCCTGTAAACTAGTATTATCAATTGAATATTGAATGTATCTGAAGTGGAGGAGAAATGTGCGGAAATTTCATCTTTTGGTGAGTTTTTATATTTTATTTATTTAGATTCAAGTCCATATATTATTGACTCATTTTATTGTATTGAATTTTGTAACCATTGTAAATCAGCTGGAAGCAGGAACTATCGTCATAAATATTCTGAAGATTTGATTGATTTATTATTCCCTTTATAGCATATAAGCTGTTTTCTGTTCATACACAGAAATGGAACTATTACTTCTTATTATTCTCCCTACATACCAAAGCCAAATACTTCTCAACGAGAACAAGGCAAATTATTTTTGAAAAGGAATATTCTCAGATAAATTATGAACATACAAAAATGGATATATATTTATATAAAGCGATACATTGAGAATTCACATTCTCTATGTGATGGGAATATCAACTCTTTTTCATTTTACTCAATAGAAAACAACTAGGTACTTTCCGGGCTATATGCCTCGACGAACATTGAATTATATCTATTGAACACACACGATAAGAGTTTGAAAATAAAATATAAAATCTTCTGAAATTGAGAATTTGCATTCTCCTTCAGACAAAAATATGTATATGCACATATCATTCTGAATATTCAACAGGAAACAACTACTTTCCTGGCTATTTGCCACGTCGAACATTGAATTATATTTGATGAACATCCAAAAGGAGAACATGAAAAATAAAAAATTCTTCGAAATTGAGAATTGAGATTCTTCCTCAAATCGGATGAATAATATGATGTATAGAAATATAACTTACCAATATATTCAGCATTGAAATGAAAATTGGAATGTATAGGAGGAGTATACTGCAAATAGCATTTTTATCGATAAGAGCAACAGATCCGTTCTCTTGTGGTATCTCTTCCTAGAGCGTTCATCCAAGAGTTGTGTCTTGTTTCAGCCGATCCAAAATATGATAAGCACTTATCTATCAAAAACTCAATGAGCATAACTTTATTGATGTGGTGGAATTTGTTATTGAAATTTGATTGGCCAGACGATATGGATTTGGCTCTATCATGAAGAGAGTTGATTATTCATTTTCAGTTAATAGTTTTTTAATGATTTGATTGAAAGTTGAGGAATCTGTTAGTATTTGTGTCTTATTATGATCAACCTACGGACACTAACGTACAAACTCTCGAAAACAAAAAGCATATTTGAGGAATCTGTCAGAAATCTGGTTTGTATGAACCCTTATAAGCATTAATTAATATTTCACAAAATTTTGTCTTCCAGTTTGTTGAGGAAATGTTTTTTTGAATTACTGTGTACGACAAAATTTCATGAAATCCTGACAAAGCATTCCTCTTCATCAATTCCTAATTAAATTCTATTGTTTTTTTCATAATTTTTTAATATACAGATTGATCAATTTTGATGTATAACGAATTAAAATTTTCATTTTCATCATATTCTGATAGATCATGAACATTAGAACGACCCATATAAGATTTACAATATGAAAGCATATAAATTCTATTTTTAAATAATTCATTTTTCCGCGTTAAAATTCGCGCTTATATTGTCGATATTGGTGACAAGGTGGATAAATTTCATTATGATTAGTGATACCACAATACAGACTATAAACAAAAGCTACAGCAATCTTAATATTCGTAAGTTTTTGGGAAAGTGTAGGCAGTTAAAATATTCTAGGTCCAAATATACTTACAAGGAAAAAGGAAAATCTCAGTGCAAAATTGTTTACTAGAAGAGAGTAGATAAAGGATTGGTTGGACGTTTATAGTATAGTAGGTATATATATAATAGCATGTATGAGGAATAACACAAATATATATAATGTTTTATTAATTTATTAAATAATATATAATATATCAACACAAGTACAACAATATAAAAATCTCAACAAAAAACAGTTTATACATTTCTAAAATGTGCTAAAAAGTGTATATAAAGTTGAAATGGATAAAAAGTAGGTATATATCATATTGTGCCTAAATTTGAGCAAATTGAAGTAGGTAGGTAATATCAAATCAGATTAACACAGGAGATTTTTAGTAGGTACCTGATTCAGATTGTTAACAGAAACAATTATATTTTGGCACCTCGTCCTCAAGATTACTTGCTTAAGCTAGGTAGTACCACTCTTAGGTACGGTTGATGTCACAAAGTATAAATACGAAGAAGAGTTTTTCTCATACAGCACTCCTTTTTTTTATTTTTGACCTTTTTTCCATATTCATATTGATATTTATTTCTTGGTAGATGGGGGGAAGCATAGCAAAGGCGATCGAACTGATCGGAGGGAACGAAAGCGAAAACATTCGCGATCCCCTCCTAGAATGGATAGGGAACATGAGCTGAAGCGTCTCTCCAACGAATTGTTTTTTTTTTTGAGAATCTAAATAGAACGGGATACCGATCGCTCTGTTCGCAGTAATCAATCAGCTGCTAGTTATAGCCAAGCCTCCTCGTATAGTCTGGAAGGTATCCAGAAAGTTTAAATGAATTTTCCCCAAGGTAAAACACCTCCTTCCTCTCCTACTGGAGGAACACCACCATCACCTACTGAATGTGAAATAATTGGAATACACCACAATCAAATATGAACCCTGATGATGTGGTGATAATTTATAATGATGTCAAGCTAGACGATGACATCCTAGAAGCTTTGGGATAGCATGAAGTCCTATGAATTACACTCAGTAATCCACAAGAGATGGAAAACCATACTCACAGAAGGGCTTGATGAAGGAGAAAGAGAAAGGCTAATGGGTCTATACTTGCCTCCTACAAACTTAACGGAAAATCTGAAGGCTATACCTTCTAATACACATAAGGAAGACAAGTTTCCAGAGCTGAACCAGAGCTAGTTAAGAAAGAGTCTTGCTGCTCTAGAAACTGGTATCAACATCCTCTTGAAAGAAGAATTTGTGGCCTCCTTAGTGAGTCAGGAAAATTGTTGACAGATGTTCACTACAATATGTCATTCACTGAGGGCCCTCATTACACCTACAACTGTCAAAGAGCTGACTAATGCAGCACCTATTAAGGAGTTGTTATTTGGGTCCAACCTGGGTGAGCGTATAAAAGACAGCAAAAGCTGTTTAGAGATTAGTAATAGATCTCAAACCAAAAACAGATACTGTATTCAAAAAACCTAGTAATCAACAACAAAGTGCAAGCTCATCAGGTAGTGGTGGATATAAGAGAAGTAATTCATTAAATTGGAGGGGCCCGTCAGGATACAGGAGAGATCACAGACAAAAGGGGCAATATCTCCAAACCTTTGCAGGTAGTTTGAGGATTACAATATTCCTTTTGTCAAAAAACCAAAGACTGTTACCATTCCAAAAATGAATGTATGGAATTGATGTGGGAGCAGTTGTTAAACGCAAGGCAGCAGTATCTCAGTTTGTTTCACCATGTTTTTTGATTAAAAAACCTTAGTAAGGTTCATCCTTAACAAAAGAACTGAATAAATATGTTGATCCACCCCATTTCAAAATGGAGGACAGTAGAACAGTGATGAAACTAATAAAAATAAACAAATATATGACATCCTTTGATCTTAAGGTTCGACGAGGGCTTCCATTCGAGCGAGCTACAAGATATATCATATCTAGATGGATAAAACATGAGATGATAGCAACAGGAATCAAAACTGAAATGATTTCTGCATACTCCACACGTCACGACTCCACATCTAAAGCAACACAACTAGACATAAAGGCATATCATGGGATATAATATGAAAAACGGCGGGATGGTATAAGGGATCCGGTAGCCGTGTGGTAGAAGCGTTAGTATTCTAAACGCAATGGCTTGCTGGTCGTGTGTTCAAATCCAAACAACTGCAGAATTTGTTTCTGATGGCCCAAGAAAGTGTATGGAATTACACGTTAAAAGGTAAGGCCCCCGTTATTCCGTGCACGCACAAGTCACTTGAAGTCCGAGAGTTGCTCGTAAAGGGACAACCGAATGACGTACAGAACAATTTACAACAATCATCCGTTTTTGCCAAGTTTTTGAATCGCCCTATCAACAAAAATCCTGGGGCATTTACTGAGGAAGTCTACAATACAACTGAAAATATGCTATGATCAAGCTCTTGACTTTCAATTTTTAAATAAAGTTGTGCTGGTTTATTTTGATCCGAATCCAGTTTCCACACTATGTTTACATTATTTTGAATATCTGCCTAGCTAAAACAAATCATCTCGAGGACGAGGTGCCGAAATATAATTCAACGATCAAGCTAACTTACCGTTAAGTTCAATCGAAATTATATGACGCACCTCGTCCGAAGAGATCACTCCCGCCCACCCGAGCACGAGTTTTAAAAATATTGTGGAAAATACTTTAAAATGGTAATTGAATGGCGTTCACGGGAGCAGTCTGTAAGAAGGGTTGCTGAATGATAAGAACTCTACTTCTTATTTATACTTTGTGGCATCAACCATACCTAAGAGTGGTACTACCTAGCTATACTTTCTTCGAACGAGGTGCGTCATATAATTTCGATGGAACTTCACGGTAAGGTCCTTTGATCGTTAAAAAATACACCAGTCCGAAATACCCTAAAATTCCATTTGCACCTATATCACAGTTTTTGATTCTGTGAATGAAATAGTCATATGATAAATATCATCAGACAAAGCTTGAGACAGATACCTCCTGTTGTGAGGGATACAGGGTGTTGGGAGTTTAAAAGTAAAAATATTTAATAGAAATAACTCGATTGAATTCAGTTTTCTCTATTTTTCTTCATAAAGAAATATCGGTAAATTGGGAAAACTGTCAACATATTAGGATATTGATATTTTTGTTGTATGAATTAAATTTCTAGATTTGTTTTCATTCCTTGAAAAACACTGTAAAAAAGGTTTGTTCACATCAACTTCATAGTATGATCATTTCGCAAAAATAAATTGTTTTTCTTCATAATTGAAAAATCGGTTGATTGGGAAAACTGTTAACTTAATATGATATCCATATTTTTGATGTATGAATTCAATTTCTAGATTCGTTTTCATTCCTTGAA